TGCCGACTTCCTCAAGGACAGGACCGCCGAGGAGATCCTCTCGACGGTGCTTCGCAGCTGGATCAGATACTTCGGGCCACCGATCAGACTCATCTTGGACCAGGAGGGCGGCATGGTTTCTGAATTGGCATCGCGCATGTGCGACAAATTTCACATCAGACGTTCCTTCGCTGGTACCGATGATCACACAATGACGGGCCTGGTGGAACGATGGATTTCTCTCATCAGGCTATGCTCGCTCAAGCTGAAGAAAAGTGCTCAGGCCCAGGGCCTGCAGGTCACGAATGCAGATATCATCCAGGAAGCGGCCATGGTCTCGAACTCACTCGTGTCTTACGGAGGCCAGACGGCGAATCAGGTGGTGCTGGGATTCACTCCTCGCGACTACTACGACATGGAAGCCACTACCTTGGACTCCGTGACGCCGGCCGTGGACAGCTGTCCGGATCCCTTCGAGTCGGCACTTCGACTACGAATGCAGGCCAAGATCGCCATGGCTAAGAGCTTGGTCGAAGAGCGCATCGCGAGATGCAACCGAACTCGACAGCAGCAGACACCTCCTGGACAGCGACTTCAGCCTGGCGAACCTGTTGACATCTATCGAGTACCTGAACGCAAGGATCAGTCAGGATGGAGAGGACCAGCGGAACTTGTCAAACTTTCTCAGGGAACTGGCATAGTGATCTGGAACGGTATCCCCTACATTCTACCCACAAGGCACATCAGACGACACACTATCAATCTGGAGAAGATACCAATCGGCGAAGGCAACCACTACGCATACCTATTGAAAGACACGACAGACAGCTCGAACCTCACAGAGCTCATGGACCTCGTCGACGGCACCGCCTACGGTCAGTACACCAGGATCGGGAAAATCTTCGACGGTAGTTCCATGATCTGTTCACCTCCGGTATCTCAACTACGATTGGTCAAGCACTGGTGCCTGTGTCTTCAGATATACCAGCGAGTTTTCCATTTGAAGAGCGTGGACGGCCTGTTGTACGGTACATCGGTCAGACGCATTCCAGCACTGGATCGGATGTATCATGGATTGCTCGTCACTTGGCCTCGTTCGAATAAGACGAAATACCTGGCACAGGAAGTACGACCAGACAAGGGAATAAACATCACAGACTTTTCGAGCGACGCCTGGGACGTTACCTCTTTCTTCCTTATGTATCGGACTGAGGTGCCGGTAAACCCCTTCCTCGACGACTACGAGATACCAGACACGAACGATCTCGGCAACATCGAGGTCTGGCCAGAGAGCATGAGAGACATCGATCAGGACATCCGCGACATGGTCAGCCTTCTTCCTGATGATGATGACTGGGAATCAACCATCCTCTCCTACTCGCCAGAAGCATCGCGACAAAACATAAGAGAGAAGTCGTCGCTGGACATCGAACAGGCAACAGCTCAACTTCCACCAATACGAGAAGACATTCAAGACAAGACTATCGGATCGAATTCCAACGATCTCGACCTCACTGGAGAGCTCAGCAGACTTCTAGACCAGGACAGCTCTGGCTCAAATCTCAGGGCTCAACCATCAGCATCCTCGGGACAGCTATCGGCTCCTGTACCACAAGCTACGCCTCTTCCTCAGCCTGTGCAGCGAGCTGTGCCTCTTACGGCACCATCACAGCCAGCTGCACCTCAGTCTCAACCTCATACAGCGGTACCTGTTCAGGACGACAGCTTCGACATGAGCAAGGCGCTGAGCGACATCTTGCCAGAGTCCCAGGACGCTGAGGTGGATCAGGCGATGCCTCCCGTATCGTCAGCTACTCCAGTACATGACAGGCCTACTCTACCAGAGGGCGACTCCAAGAGAGTCAAGACAGCTCCTCCTAGCACGATACCTGCAGCAAGCACGACAGCTTCCTCACCGGGCTTGGTTCCTTTGTCGAGTACGGCGTCAACGTCGAGGCCGACCATCGAACGTGAGCCGGTCACGAAGCGAGAGCACGACACAGTGGAACCCGGACAGTCGACCTCGATGGAGCAGCCTCCAACGCGACCCTATGCCGGTACCTCGCCAACAGCTCAGCCAGTGACCTTGCCGACCGAGGAAGGGCAGATCGAGTCGGAGATCAAAGAGCTGGATCTTTCGGGTGAGTTGAGCAAGTTGTTAGAGCAAGATGTTTCTCAACCTGGCGCTGAGGCCGAACAGTCAGCACCAACGAGTTCACAGACACTGATTCCTTCAGGTGATGACAACGCTTTTTCTGGACAGGGTCTCAGCTCGGAAGATTGGAAACATTTGCAGAATATGCCAGCGGAAGATGCTGTTCCCATCGGGTTGCCGGTACACGTCGACATGCCAGAGAGCGACCACGCGCCTATTCAAGATACTGACCTGTACGCTCGACGCAATATGGCAACAAGTTGTCTGGATGTCACTGCAGAAGAAGAGACCTACCTAAATGAAGCGCGTGAATCATACTTGCACGACTCAATGACCATCGTGTTGGAACAGCAACGACAGGCCAACCTCTTTGCCGACAAGATAGGACAGCAAAACGGCCTGCCAACATCGGACCTTCCGTGGACACGCTCACAATCAGCCTGGGTTCTTGCTGGACCATGGAAGAAGGACCAGTGTTTCCTGTTCGACCTACACACGGGAGAAGCGGTTACCTACGCGGCTCAGGCGGATGGCAACCTTACCGAGCAGGAGATATACGAGAACTGGGACCTAGTCGAAGCGGCTGATCGGGCAGAGCTCACAGCTTTCGTGGGCCACTCTGTGTTCGCGTGTGCAGCGGTCAAGAACTTGGACTCTCGGAACATCATTGATGCAGTCTGGGTTCGGCGCTGGAAGTTCAATCCCAAGAAGCAAATCTGGGAGGTGAAATCCCGATTATGCGGCCGTGGTTTTCTAGATTCCCAGAAACATCAGATACAGAGGCATTCCAGTACAGCATCAAGGATCAGTCAAAAATTGGTGGTGAGTATGGCACAGTGTCACGCTATGACGGACCTTGAAAGTTGGGATATTTCAACGGCATTTCTTCAAGGACTATCGTTCGATGAATTGAGGAAACGTTCAAGAGAGTTGAAGTTGTCATGTACAACGGTCAGGAAAGTCTACCTCAATCCACCAGCGAACGTGTGGCGACACTTGGCCAACATCGAGGGCAGCTCAGTGGTGGTACAGCCGGTTGACTACGGACTCTTTCTCCTGGAGCTACTCAAGCCTATGTATGGGCTGGTCGATGCTCCACATCTGTGGCAGATCGCGCTCACGCTGTTCCTCGTGTCTACCATGGAAGCTCGCATCAGTCTGTGGGATGACAATTTCGTGTACTGGACGGTGAAGGACATCGACATCCTACGACGACGGCATCCTCACAAGGCGCATGAATGCGGAGTATCGGAGAACCTTCTGACAGCAATGACGGATAAGCTGGCAGCCTGCCTCACGATTCACGTGGACGACCTACTCACTCAGTCGAGGACACAGATCTTGAATTTCCTGAGGCAGCTACTGGAGACGAAGTTTGGAGCAGTCAAGCGTCAGAACCTACCCTTCACGCACAACGGAGCTCAGTACTCTAGATTGGCGAATGATAGCATCCTCATTCAGCAGCTCGACCACTTACGTAACATCAAGCCATGCGAGATCCCTGCCTTGAATGATGATCAACTTGTATCAGCACAATATATACATGGTTTTCGGAGCATCCTCACCAGCATGCTGTTCCTGTGTCAATGCAATGTGCACATCTTGACGGAAGTCACTCAATTGCAGGGCTTCAACAATGAACCGAGGGTGATGCATCTCAAGAGGGCCAATGCGGTGTTGAAGAAGTCGCAGAACGACAACATCATGATCGGTCTTCATTATCCACGACTCTCAGGACCCTACTGCCTGCGCGCCATAGGAGATGCTAACCACACGACTAAGACGAGTGTGTATCCACAAGAAGGCCAGGTCATCTTACTCATGCATGATGTTCCTCTCGTCATGGACAACAAGATGGACACGATCAGCGACAAAAGGTGTCTCAGTGGATACTGTCATCCGATGGCGATTCTCTCGAACAAGGCGAAGAAGGTGGCACATTCGACTTCAATGGGGGAGACAAATTGTGCGCTAAGTGTTGTAAGTAATGCACAGATGATAGCACTTCGTATCACGGAAATGCAGATGGATCAAGATATTGCTCAGAAGGATCGTATCAAGGCGATGATGGACATCAACGAGAAGGGCGCCTATGAGATTGCGATCGACCACCTGACGGATTGCAAGGACGTGTTTGAGCTGGTGACGGGCCTGAAGGGCGTTCCTCAGGACAAGCAGCAGAGGCTTCCGGTGATGGCACTCAGAGAGGAAAGAATCACTACGCGGATACGGTGGACGATACATGTGCCGACGGAGATCATGATAGCAGATGCAATGACAAAGCCGGGGACCTTCAAGCAGATGATGAAGCTATTGACCACAGGTTTCTTAGACATGGAGATGATATCTAAGGTAGCTACGGCTCGACGTATCCAGCATGCACCGGTGGACTACACGGAGAGCGACCTGGAGACGATCCAGAAATTCAACGGCCAGGTGCACTTCGAGTTCTACCAGATGAACGACATCCTGATGACTGAGGCTCGCATCCGTTGCCGCCCGGAGTCACCTCTCTCCTAACCTCCTCCTTCTCTCTCTCTCTCTCGAGTTAGATGGTTTTTTAGAATGCGTTTTCTTCCCTGTAACTTTTTCCACAACAGCCCTTAGAAAGTAGAATGAGACTGAGAATATCAGCTTCAGTAGCAGATCAGCTTAGCAATTCAGAGGATCAGTGAATGATCAAGTGTAGTATCTGTTCCGTACGCATCAGGGCTCAGGGTTTGCGCAGTTCAAGACTAAACATCTCAGTAGAGGAAGGGGGAGAAAGGAGGGATGGGAGAGAAAAGAGGAAGGGGTAGCAAGGAGGGAGTGAGGAGGAACGATATGTAGGGAGGCGGGATGGGAAAGGGGAGAGGGAGCGCGCCAGGACACCGCTGTCGGCGCCATCTCGAGGGGCGCGGGTGCCCTGACCGGAAAGACCGCAGCCCCAGCGCCTGTTTCTGGCCATTCAGGAGGGGCGGCAGGGTGGCAGTGGCGGAGGGGATGGGAGGAGGAACAGAAGAATGAGGAGGAGAAGAAGGAGAAGTAGTAGGGAAATGAAGAGGAGGAGGAGAAGGAGGAGGAGGAGGAGAAGGAGGAGGAGGAGGAGGCGGAGAAAGTGGGAGGAGGAATGAGGAGGTGGAGGAAGAGTTCGAGCAGGGGGAGGAGGAGCAGGAGGAGGAGGAGGAGGAGCAGGTCGACGACGAAGCATTAGCTGCGAGCCCTCGCGCCTCCCCCTGGGCATTTGCCACAGTGCTAAAAGTGCAGTCGCATGCCAGTCGAGTAGGGCACGTTTTGTGGATGCGTCAGCGTGTGCTGACCTTGTCTAATCTGTCACTTTCAGCCAGCAGCTTTCCCCAGCTCCAGGCACGTCTATGTATAGTGGCACCGCCAGCGATGAGGTACAAATCGGCTGGCAGGATTACCCACAGCTCTTACCTGTCCTATCTAGTGGGGAACGGAAAATGGAGCAACTGGCTGCTTAGTCTAGAAGAGCACGCATTGTTCAAATACCTGCATGTGGCACCAGGTGAATTCGCGTTACTTGTGTGCACTCGTTTGCGATTAGTGAATCGTATGCGCTTTAGCAATAAGTGACGTGCAGCGCTGACGGGTAGAATGGCATATTGGCCTCGTCGGCTTACGTCAGATTGTTGAGATCATTGGCGCTCTTACATGGTGTTTCGTACATCCCGCTTGATGGCGTCATTTATGTAGTTGTATCCGCATGTTCCCTCCGTGGACTTAGCAATTTCAGGATCCATCACTGCTGATACTCTCTGTCAACAGCTACACTTGGAATATCGACCGTTCCAGCAGGAAGAGAGATTGCAGAAGTCCTGCATACCTCATCCGCGTCCTTTTCCCCCTTCCTCCTCGACCCTGTGCCAGTCCCCCATCTGAACCCCCATCTCACCCCGTCCTCCTCCTCCTCCTCCTCCTCCTCCACCTCTTCTCCTCCACCTCCTCCTCCTCCTCCTCCTCCGCCTCCGTCTCTTCTCTATTCTCCTCCTCCTGCTCTTCCTCCTCCTCCTCCTCCTCGTCCTCCATGCTCCTGCCATCCCTCTCTCCTCCGTCCCTCCGTGGCCGAAGTATATGGTATTGGGTCGCGCGTGCGTTCGCATGGCCCTCGAGGCTCACGTCTTCAGGTGGCCACCTCGAGGGTGCGCTTGTCTGCCATACCGAGCCGCTCGACGCCGCAGCGCAGGGGCGCCCGGGGCAAAGGGAGGAACAGGAGGCGGGGGCAGCAGCTAAAGGAGGAGGAGGAGGAGGAGGAGGAGGAGGAGGAGGAGGAGGAGGAGGAGGAGGATCAGGAGGAGGCGGAGGAGGAGGAGGCGGAGGAGGAGGAGGAGGAGGAGGAGGAGGAGGGACCAGCGACCAGGTGGGATCGAACGCGGGCGTGCGGCTGTTGCCTGACCCTGCGGTCCGCAGGAGGAGGCGGGGGAGAGGCCGGGGGATGGGGGCCGAAGGCCAGGAGGGGGCAGGATGAAAGAGAGGAGGGGGGTGGGAGTTGAGGGCTGAAGATGGAGGGGGAGGAAGGGCAGGAGGATGAAAGAGACGAGGAGGCTAAATCGGGCGACAAAGTCTATACATGTCCACTGCTCCCTGGCCAGGCCCATCCTGAACCCAGGAGCTGTGTACACGCCCTCGTGGCCAAGCCAGGAAGGCGTGGCGTATACACCGCTGCTGGGTTCAGGATGGGCCTGGCCGGGGAGCAGTGGACATGTGTAGACTTCGCCGCCCTGCTGAAGACCAGGAGGGGGGGGGAGGGCGGCAGGGAGGCATCCAGTCCGACTACGCGAACGTGCTTGCAGGGCAGCCGCGCTTCCAGTACGACGGGCCGGGCGCGAAGCCGTCGGCACCGGCCGCACAGGGAGGCGCCCGGGGGGGGGGGGCATCGCAGAGGAGAGTCCGAGTACCCTGCCCCGCGCCAGAGGCCCCAGGCCTGGTGTCGCTCGGACGTGTGCATCTTGTTTCGGCGAGGACCATCGAGAAGCATCCTGGATCGTCGGGCAAGAACGGAGCGCACAAGACCGAACAGATGCACGGGGAATGGACGTCCGAGCGATGGCAAGCAGGGGTCTCTTGAGGTTCCTGGATGTCTCCGGGCTCAGAGGGAGGGCGGGGAGGGGGAGGAGGAGCAGGAGGAGGAGGAGGAGGAGGAGGAGGAGGAGGAGGAGGAGGAGGAGGAGGAGGAGGTGGGGAGCCCTTTATTTGATTTCATTCGGGGATCATCTGTTAAAATAAGAACGATACAAAGAAGATGTGAATGGCTCCTGCGCAAAGATGGTACGCAAACATTGAGAAGTGTATGCATTTTTCGGCTACGTCCTAGCAGGGGGAGCCCTCTTTTCCTTCCCTCACACGCCCGTTCCAGGCGAGGAGCTGCGGGCATTTAAAATTACATCAGCGGTGGGCGGCAATCCCACTTCGCTCTTGCGTTCGAGGGTGTATTCTGTTACTCGCCAAACGAAGCGTTAAAGCAACAGCCGGCTGGGCACAGGCAGAGCGCGCCAGCGCGAATAACACACGTGTTTTTGACGAACGCGCTCGAGCAAGAAGAGCCGTGTTCTCCCGGGCAAGAGGGTGGCAAGCGTACACACATACACACCAGAGGGCGAACAGTGCAGGTGCTCGTTCCACCCATGGTGAATTTTAACAGGGTTGGACGTCCTACCCAAACCATGTTCACAGCTCACACATTCGACTCAGGAATGCTGGTGCACTGGCCATGCTGAATTCTCCTGTCGAGTACCTCGTCGCACGTTGCGCTTCGTCTGGGTTCACGTATCAGTGGGGATGGGCTCTGTGGAGCTCGCCAATTGCACTTATCAGAGACATACAAAAATCAATATAGACATCCTCTTGCGCAGGAGTCCGCACATCATGGTATCCAGGCGTTGTTCACCGAAGAACTTCCACACACAAGACTGAGTGCTTTCTACACTGCATGAAGACATCACAGTCGTCGCTCTGAGACCGAACGGTCGCCATCATGTGTCATTATGCTTGTGGATTTACGCGCCAGCTCTCGCCGATGCTGCGATGTGCTAGGAAGAAATTAGGCGAGTGGCGCGCCTCGCGTCAGAAATTTCGTGTGGTGAGTGAGGGCGCAGAGCGCAAGGAGAAACATGCTGTGCATCTGCAGGTAATGCTGGAGCTGGGGGAGCGCGAGGCTTCTGAGCGTGCGTCCTAAAGATATCGTGATAGGCCAAGCCTGTTGACTCGCCCGAGCTGCATGCATTGATTCCTACTTCTACGTCTGCAGCCGTTCCGATTCCAACATGTTCAAGTCTGCCTTTCACTCACATCCCGCATACTATGTATGAAAACCACGCTCGACATCTTATCATGTGTACTCATTCCGTTCGTAATGCTACATGTTGTAGCATTCAGTTCCCCACCCCTCCCCTGCTCGCCGAAGCAGCCAAAAACGTGCCGTTCCATCATGTCCGTCGCAAGTTGTACCTCTCCGACACATGTTGTGAAATTAGTGTTGCCACTGGCATCCCCAATCTCCCGGCAGTATTGCGTCGCCGAGCATATCGCGCGCGAGAAAGCTGCAATGTATCTTGTCTCGGCCACGCGCAGAGGTGGGTAGGAGGAGGAGGGACGGCTTCTCGGAGACCCTGCTACTTAGAAGGCGCGGGCCTTATCTGCAGATGTTAGGCCGGCGCCTTCTAAGGAACCGGCCTCCTTCTAAGAAGCCTTCCCCTCTCCCCCATACCCCCCCCCTGTGCGCGCCGCCGAGAAGGCAAGTTGTGAGCCAGTGCCATGTGTTTTGGTGTGTTGGCGCGACGTCTGAAGACCCTGCAGAGGCACGCAGACAATCCAGCGACTATACATCCACGCCGGTCGTTGGAAGTAGGTATTGTTGGACTCCCAGATCTCAGACTATTTCAAGCGCCTTCCTACTTCAATTATCGATTTGCCCGTTGTGTTATTATTCCTTGTGTGGGCCCGAGCTCAATCTACTTGATGTGCCGTCCCACTTGCTGTTTCCACCTACTTCTTCCGACCGGCGGGTAAAGGCATTTCGAGCCCAGCGCTCGCACGAGAGGCTGCGCTGCACACACACACACACACACACACACACATCAGGTCTTTGCGCTCGGGAGCACTGCTGCGCTGCGAACTCCGCTTTCCTTCTGCATGCGAGCGCAAAGGTCCAAACGCCGTGATGTGTGGATGCTTCCGCCGTGCAGCATGAATTCTATACGCCGCAGACGCCATGCCGACTTCGCATCGAAGTTCGGTCAGCGAAATAAGGCTACGCTTCTGTGTTCTGCGCTTCCCTCTCGGGCAAGCGCGTCCGATACCATGATCCCTTCGGGCGCCCACCTGCACACCACCGCCGCTGGACGCTGCTTGCAAACTGAGATTCCCAGCCGAGTTCCGCAGACGGCCCCATCAGTACGAGGGAGGACGGGGGGAGAGCGGGACCCGCTGTGACCCCCGAGCAATCTATTTGTGCATGCTCATGATTTCTTGTCCTTGCTATTATTAGGTTCTCGCGATGCCAGGCGACCACACTCTCTCCACCCGTGCCATCATAGCGACCACAATTGGGTGGACCCACGCAATTCATCCACACACAATGGAAAGTCGATGTTGTGTCTTGCGCCATGGGCGTGTTCGTGCTTCCGATGTTGTCACATGGGCGGCAATAGTGGGCGAGGCGCGTATCCCGCGCAAGAAGACGGAACGCAGTGTGAATTTCAGCGCGGCGCAACATATTTCTCAAAATTGCACACCTTTTTTTGTGTGAGGCGCATAGTTTGCGCTTGCCAAGCCCGTCAGAAGCGGGGCCGCTTGCGACATTGCGAACTGTTAACCCACACCTCAGCGCCTCGCAGGTTGGTTATGGAAGTTTCGTTTTCGCAGAGGCACTGCGTGTTTGCTGGTTACCCGCCAAACGCGGGAGCCCCTGACTCCCTCGAGCAGTAATACATGGTTCGCGCATATGTTTCCAGCTCATGCTGCTACTACCACCCTGCCGCCATTGCTGCTGCCATCGTTGATGCTGGTCTCTCTCTCTCTCTCTCTCTGCGGTCCCTCTCCTGCCGCCATTGTTGCTGCCATCGTTGTTGCTGCTCTCTCTCTCTCTCTCTCTTTCTCTCTGCGCTTCCTCCTGTGCTTCATGTCCCGTGATGCAGCTTGTGCCAGATCATTCCATCACAACGCTTGCAATCGAGGTAGCTTCGGTGGAATCCAGCGCGGCGCTGGCATCAACAAGCCGGCAACCACGGCGGGTTTTGGTCCAGGTGGAGGGGTGGGGGTGCCAGGCTGAGCTGACCACAGCGTGGGAGCTGAATGCAGGAAGGGGGTGGGAATGGACCAGAGAACGAAGGATAGTGTTGTGAAAACGGGAAGCACGAGGATCAGGAGCAGCAGCGGGCAGGAGACAGGAGGTGGATGCAGAGCGCAGCCAGGAAACTGCATGTAGCCGTTCGCGCCCAGATTGCGGGGATGCCGCGAGCTGTTCGTCCGTTTGGCGTCTCCGTGTCCTGTCTGTTGAGAGTATCATGAGCCTCAAGGGGGATGTTGCACCGGCCAGCGCGCAGATCGTGGGGATGTCTCAGGCGAAACGTTGGTGTGGGCCCCCCTGGAGTTTCTCCTTTCAAGATCCTTGGACCATGCCGGCGTAGCAGGCATATCAGAGCATTGGGTCATTGCAAGGTGGAGCCGCCAGGGAGCACTCAGTCGCCACAGGTTGAGACTCCCTCACTCGGACGCTCACGGCGGGAAGTGCCACTAGATGAGATGCACGAATGGGGGCATCCGCGTCGAATGATTGCGTATGGCGTGCCAATGTCGATTTGTGCATTTCATCTCAGAGGTTGCGGCAAATCCCACCACCGTGCCAGCGCAGCATCGTGGTGCTCTGGCCACAAGGCTCCTTCCGGGCGGTTCAAAAGTGATGCTTCTTGGCTCAACCCCCATGGTGCACTCGCAGACGCAATGCCCTTGCTTCCAGCTTGGTCTGCAATTGTCGATTTCCCCTTGCTCGCGTCGCTCCTTCGTCTTCTTCTGGTCGTATCGGTTTTCCAGGCGCCCTGTCGTTGGTCGTGATCTCTGATATCTACGACGTACCGTTTGCGTCTGTATCTGATAAATGCGACCTCCCTGTTTCAAATGCGACCTCCCTGTTTCAAATGTGCAGCGGGCTTCAAGGACGGTTCGTTCTAACGGTCTTACCCGAAGGCGAGTGGCAGAATCATCTCTTGGGGCCGCCATGGGCGCCGTCGTGGGGCCCATCTCGGGGAGTCTCTCGAGAGTCTTTTGGGGCCGTTGGGCGATCTCCGAGCCTTTCACGAAGCCATCTTCGGGGAAGCATGCTTGGTGCAACAACGTTCTCACCGTAGGGCTTCTGGGTTTCGATTGGCGAGGTCTTGCTCGCATTCAACCAGAACCTGGCGGCTTGACTTACGTATGCTTCAGGAGGTTCTTGGCCGTTCCCAGCGGCTACGGTTCCCGAGGTATTTTCTATTCTTGCTTTTGGTCAGGCTGCACGGTCCCACGTGATATTCCCCACTTGATAGGATCGCGCTAGAGAGAGCTCCACTTGAAGGGTCCCACCCGCTAGGATCCCACCTGGCAGGGTCCCACTGGGAGGGACTGCGTGACTCAATCGCTTCTGATCTTCAAGCGGGTATCATGTTTTCTCCATTGTTCCAGATTTGGAGGGATTTTCAAGACCACTACCAGATGGCGCCGTGGCGCCTCTTGGGCTCTACTTGGGGCTTCCTTTCGCTTTGTACAGGACACACTGATGCCAATGCGTCTTTGGGCAGGCTTGGGCCAGTTCTGGACATACTGCGGCCGTCTTGGGCCGTCTTGGGGTTGCATTGAGCTGAGAAGAGCGCTGGATAGCAGCGAGGGAAGGGAATACCGTCCAAAGGCACATACCCCAAGGGGGTCTTCCTTAGATAACTACAGAGCCCCACCGGACATCTAACAGGCATTCTAACACCCGATGTTTCGTCGGCACGGTGGCCGATTACCAAACAGGCCAGGACATTGACAGTGGAGTGTCTTGTACAACTTGCCCACTCGGACTCAGAGCATACACACGGGTGGGGCATGACGGAGCGCCAGGAAAGAAAGGACGAGCGGAAAGCACAGGACCGGGGAGAACAGCCAGAGGTACGGCCGATTTCGTGACCACAGTCGTCTTGGTCTATTTCCCCATTTATTCCTGAACCCCCTGCCACGATGCTACTCCAGTTCCGCCTTTTTGCAATTGCTCCCTCCATCCCCCTGATATGCCTTCGCATTGTGTGGGTGGTCGACTTGGGTTGGTTACTTCCTTATTTGGGCTGATGCAGTCTTACATCGGCCTGCCAGGTGCAAGACCTTGCGTTATATTCCCATGTCGACTGCAGTTGACATGTAGGACTAGCATTGGGAGTGAATTTAAATGAAACGGCGCCTGCACAGACACCTCAATGGTCCCCTCGCAACTTATTTTCCCTATATATATGTAACTTTCTCTCCCTCTCTCTCATATGTTTCTTCTCTCCCTCTCTCTCTTTCTCTCTTTCTCTCTATGATCCCCTTATTGCCTCTCTTCATTCTCGTCCTGCTTCCCTGCGTCCTCGACTGGCGCCCTGCCAGCGTGGTCCTAGGCTCAGACCTCTTCTGACAATAAGGATGCCTGTTCCCGACGGGCACTTTGCGAGAGCCTCTCGAGGAGCATTAGAAGATGTGGCATGAGGGAAGATGGTCCTGAAGGAAACAGGTCCTGCAACCCAGGGCTGTCCCCGCGAACAGTTTTTCGTCTGCGGTAGGTTTTGACTGTCCCGGGGCCTGGGCCGCAGCCGAAAACACAGAAAAACCATAGTTTGTTTTTCCGTCGGAGCTTGTTTAAATGATGGCGATTGATTCCTGACGCGATGCGGCCCCCACCGCCGATCATGTGCTGACTTCGCTGTGGCCGTGCGGAGGGCTTGGGCAGGCATCGGCATCCAGCGCGCTAGCCCTGGCGGCTACACAGGCCCCAGCCCTGGATGTTTCACGGGCGGCACTGCCACCAAGCAAGGCGCGTTTCTTCTTTTCCTCCTTCCCCCTCCTCGTCCTCCTCCTTCTCTGCACAATCTCGGCGGTTTTCTCTTATTTCGGTTCCAAAAAGATTAAACTTGGATCCAGAGCGAACATCCCCCGGGTCAAATATTTTCGCCTGTGGGGCTCAAGAGCTGAAACCGTGAATCCATCGGAAGACCGTGCCTTTCTCTTCGCCGCAAATAATCCGCTGGCCCACTCCAGGTCTCCCTGATCGCCTCACCACTTATGAATCGTGGAACTCACTTTTTGATCAGCGCCTGCTCTATCGAGGCGCTCCGACGTATAGATTACAATGTGTGGCATTCACCTACTCGGCGTGAGGAATTTCGCCAGAGATGCCGAGCCGAACGTGTTACTGCTTGCTTGTAGAGCTTAGCGGGAGGAGATCAGACAGCGCATTGTCGAGTGAAGGAATGCGGAATGCGCCAGGCGCGCCGGCGAGATCCCGTTCAGACTCGCTCAAAGAAGAGTTTGCCGTCCTCCACTCCTCTCTTGGCAGGGCGCACGGGACGATTTGTCCCAGGGAATGTTCGCACTGCTTTCCCCGTTCCCCCGAAGCAGAGGCCGCCGGCTTCTCGCTTCTGTCCCTGCACTGCACGCCCTGCACGGCATCGCCTGCACTGCGCATGGCGGACACCGCTCAGCTTCCACCACACGGCCTTCCACCACACGACTTGGCTCCGCCTGACTTGCGCCACACTCGGTCTGCAGCACGTGCAGTACGCCTTGCTTGCACTGCACGCCTTGCGCCACTCACAGATCGCACCACGAAGCCTGCAGCGCGCCCAGACTGCACCGCATAGCGTGGACCACACAGCTCACGCACCCAGAGTGCAAGAGCTCACCCATTGGGGCCCACGTTGGCAGACATTCGAAATTTGCTAAGGCGTCATCCTGTCGCACCTCATTCCCCAAACGCAAGGCTGTGCCGATAATGCTTTCATCCTCGCTTCCATCCGTCCCTCTATTCCTCACTTCTTCTTCCCTCTATCCTACCTTCCGTTATCTCTTGCTCCCGCCTCCACGGGGGACACAGGAAGGAGTCGTCTTATCTCCCCCCTCCGCGTCAGGAGGTGTCGCCGCAGGCTTCGCTGCTGCAGGGGCCTTTGGCAGCCCACCCAACGGCGCGATGCCTCCGATGCCGGTGCCTCCAGCGTGAAGAGTTGCAACCGGCAGGGACGAGTTACATGCCAATCGCACGCGGTAAAGGGGCGATACAGTCAGGCTATCGCGCCATTTCGGTGAGCCAGAGGAGCAAGACGAGAAGGAGGGGAGGGAGGGGGCACCGGGGGGAAGAGGGGGCGGAGGAAGAGGCAAGAGATGAAGCGGGAGATGGAGGAGCAGGAGGCGGAGGAATGCTATGACCTCGAACGCCTGGTAACCGTTGTCGATGATTTGCGACGTTGGCAACGTTCAGCCTTGACATTGGAAATGGTAATGTTTTCTCCGTGGTAAGCACATTGTATTCTTCTGGACACGCTTGTCATGGCCATCATGCGAAGCATCAGGTATTTTGACATGCGTGCAGCGACGTTAACAAGTAAAGCACACACGTTTGTTTTGCATGGCCTGTTGTTTGTACCTTGTATATTTGTTGGGCTTATAATGTGGTCATGTGCGGGATGTGCGTGGTTTACATCTACTCGTATTCAGCGTGCACGTCTCAAAAGTGCAAGGATGCGTGCGTCGAGGAGGGGGGAGAAGTAAGGAAAACGAGGAGGTTGAAGAGGCTTGGAGGTGGGTGAGGATGACGAGGAGGAAGAAGGGGAGAAGCAAGAGCAGGAGGATGACTTGAATGATGGCGACAGGTTGACGGAAATTGGAAGAGGAAATTGAGGCGGGTGGTGATGGGAGGTGCGTCGAATGCGGGGTGAAGAAAGGGTCCTAAAGGGTTCTTTTGGGCCCCCGTTGGACCCATGCTGGTTCCCAAAGGGGCCAGAGTGGGAAACAAATGAATAACTGCTACCCCGTTCATGATTACGTTCTTGCAGAATGGGAAAATCTCGTCCTCGTTCAATATTGTACGCGTGCCGCATGTATCCCCAGATTTCTTGGGATAAGTGTGACCTTGCAGAGAACGGCAAGAGCAGAAGTAGAGCATTCCTGAGCGCGCTTGGCGCGGGAAGCGGAATCTGAGCGCGCTTGGCGCGGGAAGCATTTGTCGCGTAGTGAGTGGAGAGCACGAGCGAGGACATCTCGGATTGCTCGAATTTCTGTGGAGGTGGGGGGGGGAGGTGGGCGTCCCGGAGTGCCAGAACATTGTCTCACAAACTAAAGAGGGGCTCAGGGACCCCCCCCACTTGGGAACCCTGTTCGCCAGCGCGCCCCCCCAGAGCGGGCACGCGAAAAGGCCAGCAGCTGTTCCCCTCGCGCTGACCCGTAGTGACTCGTCTGATCCAGCGAGCCTCTCTTGCGGGGCCACCTTTGAAATCGCCCCCTTGGGCTCAGGGGCGTGACCCTTGCCTGTCCCATGTGAAGTTTGGGGCTGCGGCATAATCTAATCGCAGGGAATCTTGCTACTTGCACGCGCAGCTCCCTCGTAGGTGTCGACGTTGACCCCCATAATGCGGATGACCATGACCATGGCCATGACCTCCTCCTCCTCCTCCTCCTCCTCTCTCCTCCTCCTCCTCCTCCTCCTCCTCCTCCTCCTCCTCCTCCTCCTCCTCCTCTCCTCCTCCCCCTCCTCCTCCCCCCCCTCCTCCTCTTCCTCCTCCTCCTCCTCCTCCTCCTCCTCCTCCTCCTCCTCCTCCTCCTCCTCCCCTTCCTCCTCCTCCTTGTCTTCCTCCTCCTACCCGTCCCCCTCCCTCTCCCATGTTCGGCGCGATCTGCTCCGACGCAAAACGAATCAACGACCTTCTGCATGGCAGAATCCGTGCAGCAGTAGGATGCGCCTGTCACGGGATGCCTCCCTGAGGTGGTGAGTCTGTCAAGGAATTCTCGGCGCTGTTGCGAGAGCCACATTTTGAAAACGATCACCCCTACATCCATGCAACTCTTGGATATCCGAGCATTTATGTCGTAAGCGGTGGGGAGGTCTCAGGCGAAACGCCCAGCCCGACCTAGCGAACATTGTTGTGGTGCGACAGGGAGGAGAGGTTCACAAGGAAGAGGATGGAGGAGGCGGTCCTCTTCTCCCTGCTCGCCTGGCTTTGTGGCGCCCGCTCGAGGGTCGCACCGTGACCGCCGGGAACGCGTGGGGGATCGCAGCGGCCCTCCCCAAACATCCAGGAGGATGAGTTGAGAGCGAAGAGTTGTTGCGATGATCGTGGAAGGAGGAGGAGAAGGAACGGGAAGGGGAGGATGAAGTTCGCATGACACCTTTACTGCTTATATGTCAGGGGTTGTTTGAGTTCTACTCCGCCTCTCTTCTCATCTGCATCTGTCGGTCCTCCTCTCTCCTCACTCCCCCCCCATTTGCCCTCCGCACTCCCGCTGAGCAGTGCCAGCGGCAGTATACCACACAGGGTAGTTCTACATGTTTTCCAACGCACCTCTGGCGTGCATGGCTTCTCTCTCCCTCTCTCTCGCTTTCTATATGTAGTTTGTGTGTTGTATGTATGTATTGTTGTTCTCCATGTCTCTTTATATCTATAAACATATATATATACACATATATATATGGATTCACACATATACATACATGTACACATATAAACATACATGTATATATCCATACACACCGACATGTGCTATTATATATATATATATATATATATATATATATCATTTTTTGGGGGTTCTCTCTCTCTCTCTCCATCTGGATCCTTCTCCCTCCCACCCTCCCAGGCGCCCACGGCGGGGTTCCCAGCGCCAACGCCACGAGCGGCCCCGCACTTCCCTCCAGGGTGGGCCCAGGGGACGCTGTGGGGGGCGCCCCGAAGGGGGCGGGAGGATGAAGAGGGGAGGGGGGGAGGCAGGGCTCACTTCGTTTCCTCCGATTCGATTGGGTTCGATTCCGACGGCCCCCGACTGCGATTCGACTCGACCTCGGATCCCGATCTGGGTGCCGATTTGAGCCCGTTTCTGTATTGCTTGGGGCATGTCGGGCGTCATGGCCCCCGCTCCCCCCCCCCACCCCCTATGACGTAACGCTCCCCCCCCGCGCATTGGGATCCGCGTACGTGTCCGCGTAGAATCCGCATAGGAGTCTGGTCCGCAGTCGTCGTCGACGTCGTCGTCGTCATTGTCGCTCGTGGCTCGTGGCTCGTCGCTTGTCGCTCATCGTCGTCGTGCGCGCGGACGCGGCTGGAGCCTGTTTTGAATTCCGGGCCGATGACGGCAATCATCTGGGGGGGGTGGACGGGGTCGATGACGTCACGCCTCGCGCCGGCGGCGCCTGGGAATGCTTAGGAATGACGGAGGACGGGTGGCACCAGCATGTAGGTGGCGATCTGCACCACAACGCCTGCGTGCACCTCAGTGCCTGCGTGCACCACAGCGCCTGTGTACACCACACCGCCTATGTACACCACAGCAGCCGCATGCAACACAGCGCCAGTTTGTGCCACCGTGCACGCGGGCACAACAGCTCTTGTGTACACCACAGCGCCTGCGTACACCACATCAGCCGTGTGCAACACAGCACCAGTGTACACCACAATGCCTGCGTGCATTGTAGTGCCTGTGTACACCACGACACTTGTGTGCACCACAACAACCGTGCGCAACACAACACCACTGTTGTATGTAGAATGTTAGAAGGAATTGTTATGACAAAATGGAAAGTTGTACATTCCACAGAAAACAATAAAACTCCTCATGGTCACAGGAGCGGCAGGGGAATCTACGAGTCCTTCCGAGTTCGCCCGCATCACCGTAAGCCCTCCCATCTGCGTCCAGGAGGCTCCAGCTAAATTGGCCGTCCGAGAACGAAGTGGGCCGATTCAATAGACCAATAGACCATTCTGCGGTGCACGCTGAGATGCGCACGTGCGCTGTAGCGCCAACCCGCACGACAGGGGGTAAGGAGGAGGAGAAGGAGGAAAAGGAGGAGGAGGAGGTGGAAGTGGAGGAGAAGGGAGGAGAGAAGAACGTCGCATTTGATTATCAGCACTTTCCTGGCGTGGCGCTTCCGCAGCAAATCCTCACGTACAGGCTCTTTCTACCTGTCCTATGCACGCAGGCACTGTGGTGTACAATAGCGCTGCGTTGCACGCGGATGCTGTGGTGTAGACAGGCGCTGTGGCGTGCACGGGCGCTGCGGTGCACGCAAGCATTGTGGTGTACACAGGCGCTGTGTTGCGTATGGTTGCTGCGGTGTGCACATGTACACCGGCGCTGTAGTGTACGCAAGCACTGCGGTGTGCACAGGCGTTGCGTTGCACACGGTTGTTGCGATGTACGCAGGAGCTGTGGTGTACATGCGCGTTGTGGTGCACGCGAGCGTTGTTGTGTACACAGGCGCACTGGGGCAGATCGCCACCTACATGCTGCTCGCGTCGTCGTCGTCGTCGTCGTCGCTTGTCGCTCGTCGCGTCGTGCGCGCGGGCGAGGTTGTGGTGCCGGAGCCACACGGCGGGGGGGGGGCGTTACGTCAAACCCCCCCCCGCCCCCCCTTCCCCCCCTCCCCATGACGCCCGTCATCGCCGAACATAGAGAAACGCGCTCTTTCTGCACGGAGGCCTAATAGCCTGCTGGTTTCTGCCGATTCGATTTCTCCCGACTTGGCTGCCGATTTCCGCCGGTCCGATTCATTTCGATCGCCGATCCGACCCATCGATTCGATTCTGGGCTCTCCGGGGGAGGGGAGAAGAAGACCAGACCTCCAGCGTCTTGACAAAAGTGGGACGATTTGTGCCCTCCGTTTTCGGCCGCTTGTGGCCTTCCCCCCCCCCCGCGGGCGCTAGCCTGTCTCGGGCACCCTCTGTTGCATGCTGGTGGTTCTGATGCCGTCCACGCTCCACCTCGAGCTCCTCTCGCGATTGACAGTGAGGGCTGGGATTGTCAGCTCGTCCGCACGTCAGACTTTACGTTCTGGGGTCTCCTGGGGACGTCGTCGCCCCCACGGCTGCATGCGATTCGAGAAGGCGTGTTGGACAGGCTGGTATGTTGGCGAACTCTTGCCGTGACAATCATTCAGAGCGTTCCGGCGAGGGCCTCGCCTGCTGAGCACCTGCCGTCGGCGGAGGGCACGGGACGTAGAACGGCGACGCGCCCGGCAGAAGCCAGCGGGCGGCGGCGGAAGTCTGAGCGATGTCCAGGATGTCAGCAGTTCTGGGTCCAGGACTTCTGGAGGCAGCCATATTCGACGCTGGGGTGCGATAGCTTGTGAGAGGCTGCCCGCACTGCGGAAAGTAATCTAGTGAGTCAAGCTCCGCTTCCTTAGTGACGTGCGTGCGGAGCTTCGCGGAAGTGTCGCAGGATTGGCACTGGAAGCACATCGCACTTGCCTGCTGCAATGCAATGCAGAGCAGGGCTAAGCAATGAGATCACAGCGATTGCAGTGTATGCTGCTCGTCGAACTAGCGCAGGCCAGTCAACCTGCGCCAACTACACATATTAATGCAAAACGAAGCTAAACGAAGCAACGCGATACCAAGAAAGCAAATGCGACAGTGCACTGCACAGCAAAGTAACGAAACACAACTTAGCAGACCGAAGAAACACGCCCCTGGGAACCAGGCCTGGGAACCCGAGTCACCTCGGCCCAGCCCCTCAAACACGTGGGCAGGAAGGACCTGTTCGGGCAAAGCCAAACTGGATAGAAACAAGTAAGTGGGACGACTCGACCGTTCCTTAGACTTGAGCAGCCGTTAATTTGCCATGGGCGCTACGCTCCACCCTCGATCCGCACCAATACCGCAGCACACCTGACGCTGAATGGGTCGATTCTCGAGTCCACTGCTTCGTGCACAGCATCTGTCTTCCCCCCTTCCTTCGTCGCTTGCGCGCCCATCTGCGAGCCGTCTGCCTGTCGGTGCTACCTGGTTGGAGATTGTCCTCACGCTTACGTTTTCGTCAGTGCGGGCACTGTATGGCCGCTGGTCACCCGCGCCAGCGTTGTGGCAGCTTCCGTCGGCTGCTGCACCCTTTCTCTTGCCTTCGCTTCTGGTCCGCACGTGGACCTGCAGTGCGCGTGCACGCGCCACCTGGGAGAAAAGAACATGTAGGGATCTGTGCGATGGTCCTTGAACACCCGGAGGGTCGCATGCTCCACTGGCTTGGCCCCGTGGGCGTACGCGGAAATGAGCGGTTGAATTGTAAGCTCGTTTGCTTGCTTGCCATGCGAACGTCGTCTCCATCTTCCACTCGTCGTAGACGGAAAACGTGTCCGTATCCACGGCCTCGCGGGCCGGCCCCTTGGGCCGCGACCCCGCGGATACGGGGCGTTTCTCCGCGGACGCCCCGCGCGGAACGTGTCCGTGCGACCGCGCATCCGCGGGATCGTGCCCTGGAATCCAGACCGCGAGGGCGTGGATATGCACACGGTAAGATCCCGTCGTGCCGACCAGCGGCGACCCCGCCGCCGGCGTTCAACGCTGAACGTCGCCCGCGACCCAGAATCGGACGATGTTGAAGGATCCGACGTTTCAGAAACGGCCGATCGTCCAAGGTTGAACGATCCCCGCGGTGTCAGGAACCAACGCCAGAGTCGGCACGACACGAACCTGCCGTACGCTCGCCGCCCGTGCATCGCCCTCCTGCACTCGCACGGCTCTGCACGCCGTCTCGGCCGCGGGGAGCCGTGGGGAGCCGGGCAGGGCGGTTCCTGGCTACCAGCCGAGCCCGGCGTACGCGCAGCAGCCGACCAGCACGGCGCGCCTCGCCTGCTCTGGCTCATCACCATTGCGCTCCTCCTCCTCCTGCTCCTCCTCCTCCTCCTTCTCCTCCTCCACCTCCTCCTTCTCCTCCTCACTCCTGCTCCTCGTCCTCCTCCACCTCCGCCTCTTCCTCCTCCTCCTCCTCCTCCTCCTCCTCCTCCTCCTCCTCTTCAGGAACTCGCACTGGAGGGACCGAGAGATTGGCACGTCTTCCGCGGCGGAGAACTGACTAGCGGCGAACGTACTCACATCCGTGCCCTCGCGGCTGGAGTCCGGGGCGCGATCCCGAAGATGCGCGGCCGCACGGATGTGCGCCGCGTGGGGCATCCGCTTGGCCCGCGAGGCCGTGGATACAGATATGTTGAAGGGGCCCAGGGACACACAAATATATAGACACAAATCCCAAGATTTCCATATTCTCGCATAAATTTTGGACCATTTCCAATGTTCTCTTATGTTTTCTTGAGAATCGGTGATGGCTCGCACCTGTTTGTTTTTTTTCCCTCCCGATATGTGTTCGCCCACGAGGAGGGTCGGCAGAAGGCGGCGGAATTAAAACGAGCGCGGTTTTCTGCCAGCGGAAGTTGGGCAGGACTATTGGTGGATTCCAAGGACGTCTTAGACAAAACGGCGTGCCGTAGTGATGCTGTATGGGTTCCAGCGAGCGACGTAAGTTGTACATTGTCTTCCCCCTCCTCCTCCTCCTCCTCCTCCTCCTCCTCCATTCCTGTTCCTTGTTAATATTTTCTCCCTGTTGCACCCCGAGAACAGTTCTTAGGGCAGGCCGGGCGTTTCGCCTGAGACTTCCTGACCATTTATGACCCTGACGCTTGAACATTGGCAACAGTTTTCACAGATGGAGGGCGGGTCGTTTTCAAAATGTGGTTCTCGCCTTATCGCCGCGCACATTCGTTCTAAACATGTGCCAGGGTTTCACGGATTGAGGGCGGCCCGTTTTCAAAATGTGGTGCTCGCCTTAGCGCCGCGCACATTCGTTTTACAAGTTTACAAGAGCTTGACGGATTGAGGGTGGTTCCTTGTGAAAATGTGGTTCTCGCTTTAGCGCCGCGCGCATTCGTTGATAAACACTGCAAGAGTTCCACTGGTTCCCATGATCACTGTGATTTGGAAGGGTTCTGGATTATGAGGGTGCAGCAGTTACGCTGATTCGCGGTGTCGAAGTCCCAGGAATGGCGTTCGGGCACGATTCAGGATCGTCACGACGCAACAGTCAGGTTGATCCTTGGCGTTGGAATCCCGAGAACAATGTTTTGGCATGCTTCCGTGACGGTTGTCTTCCAACGAGGCAGTTCCCAAAGTGGGGATGAACCAATGTAGGGGCCTATTCAGAGGGAGCTTGGCTCGAGGGTTTATTCCAACATCGTTGATGACTCTTGGATTTACACTGGTCCTCCTCCCCCTCCTCCTGCTCCTCCTGCTCCTCCTCCTCCTCCTCCTCCTCCCTTTCCTCCTCCTCGTCCTTCTCCTTTTTCCTCCTCCTCCTCCTCGTCCTTCCATTCCTTCTCCTCCTCCTCCTCCTTCTCCTCGTCCTCTCTTTCCTCCTCCTCCTCCTCCTCCTCCTTCTCCTCCTCCTCCTACTCCTCCCCCTCCTCCTCCTCCTCCTCCTTCTCGTCCTCTCTTTCCTCCTCCTTCTCCTCCTCCTCCTCGTACTCCTCCTCCTCCTCCTCCTCTTCCTCCGCTCCGCACTTCAGCCGCTTTGTCCTTTGAACACTGGGGAGCGCCCCTCTGGACATAGCGTCGTGGGGGCTGAGCTCAATGCAACGCGCACACAACCCACCAAGACGCATGTAAGAAAAGGGAGTCACGGTGGGAGGAGGATGTTTCGAGGCCTTTCGAGTCAACATTGTTTGGGGAGCACTTCCCCATGGGGTCGCCTCGCATCAGTTGTTGGCATGCCTGACCAGATGACCACTCCATTTCGTATGCTGGATTGAGCTGCGATGAGCGGGCTACACTGCCCTTGAAAAGTAATACAACTGTTTCGCTGATTTCGCCGCTCGTATTCTTTGGCGTTTCTTCGTGTTCGGCCTCTGGAAGGCGTGCTTGGACCCTTGGACGGTCAAAGACGGGCCCGGGATGGAAAATTACCCCCGGGAAAGTCTGCCAGAACATGTCCCGACACGACCTGCAAAGGTTGCCTTACCTTTCCAGGGGGGGGGGGTAGGAGCAGCTGGACGGCCACTCACAAGACAGGATGACAACAAAGTGCGTCACCCGCCTGGAGCAGCAGCCGCAGGACCAGCAGCAGTCAGCAGGAATACCAGCAGCAGCAGCAGGGAGGACCCACAGCAGGAGAACCGGACACAAGACTACAGCACTCTTTGGTTGGTCGAGAAGCCAAGCACACAAAGTTAGTTAGTTAGAATGTTCTGTTCCAGGTTACCTTGGCATCGCTCGAACGTGTGCATTTTGTCTCGGTGAACATCATCGAAGAGCATCTTGGATCACCATGCGAACACACATCCACGCACGGAATCGAACAATGCGCGGGGAAGGGGCGTCCGAGCGAGCGAGTCACGGTCGGGAACTTGTGCTTAGCGTGTCGCGCCGCCGGGCGCGACACGCCAACCGCATCCCGGCCCCCGAGCACCAACGCTCCTCGATGACGATGACGATCATGATGACGATGACGATGGCGATGGCGATGGCGAGCGATGGTGATGATGATGGCGATGACGATGATTATGACGTCGTTGATGACGATGATGGTGATGATGATGATGATGATGATGATGATGATGATGATGATGATGATGATGATGATGATGATGACGGTGGTCATCGTCATCGTCATCGTCATCGTCATCACCTCCCTTTCCGCGAAGCAGAGCGAAACGCTATCCGCTGGAAAGGCAGTGCTTGTTGCCAGGGCCGCTGCCGCGGTACGCTAAAAGTTCCTGGCCGTAAGAGGTGAGGGGCATGTGTGCATCTGTTCACGTGTTATGAAATTGTCTTCCTTCATGCACGGATATGCCCAAACATACACAGGCAATTTTGTCCATGCATGCATGCATCCATACAAGTATGATTCTGCGTGCTGGCTATAGTCCTTCCCGTCTCCCCCTCCGTGAACCAAGCAAGTCAGAGGCTGCGGATGTCAGAAAGGCTATAGTTGCATTGACTTGTTAGCCCGACCGGACTTTCGGCTGCCGGCAATCCCCGAAGTGGGGGCGAACAGCCGAATCGCCACTTCGAATGCGTCGAATGCGATGGACCCACTGCGGCGTCGGGGATCCTCTGCGTAGGCGGGGAATGAAAAGCAGCCTTTCGCGCTAGCGAATCTTCCGTCCTGAAGGCAACCTGGGTTTGGACAATGTCGGGCAGCCAATCGGGAGAGGACGAAGAGGCAGGATAGGAACAGGACGAGGAGGAGGAGAGGGAGCAGGAAAAGGACAGGGACGAGAGGCGGAGGGGGAGAATCCAGACGCGTCAAGCTTCATTTTCGCCCTCGCCCTCTCGCGCGATACCAGTAGAGTTGCACCCCCGCGAGCTCGCAGGCGTCGTCCAACAAGGGCCCTCCGCTGTCGGCGCCTGCGCTGGCGAGCAGGCTCCCGCGGGAGGTCGGGGAGGGTCGGAGGGCTCGGCGGCAAGGCAGAGTGAGGAAGCGAAGGAGGAGACACGCCACGATTGCGAGCAAAAACCAAATACACACCCGACACGAGGCGCCCACCGGGCGCAAGCGAAAGCTTGGCACCAGCCCCCAGCCAACACGATGCCCCACCGGGCGCCCGCGGGCGCCCGCCAGGCGACAATCTGGAACACCTGGCCAGCACGAGGCGCCCGCGGGCGCCGCTGAGGCAAAAGCCCGGAACACCCAGCCGGCGCAAGACACCCGCGGAGGTGCCCACCTGGCGAAAATGACCAGTCCAACAGGCATTGCTGGTTGGGAATTTGGAAACCACCTGTTTGAGATGTTGCGTGCTGAACACAGTACGTGGGAGAGGCTGCGGTAGCGCCGCGCTGCATCAGGGGAGAGAGGAGGGTAGCTGTCATACGGTGCAATCTTCAAAGAGGAGGAAGAGGAGGAGGAGGAGGAGGA